GGTAAGCAACCAAGACCTATCATTGTAATAAAAAGATTAAAGGAATTTAATATTTATAGCCCCAAGACAAACTGCAGCAATAGGGTTTGTAATTAGTTCCATGTTTCTCCTAATGATTCCCCTTAGGAATCATTAACACTCATGGGGAAAGTAATCTGCTTGAACAGAGCTGTATAACACCCACATCTCTTTTCAAGGGAACAATCTACAGGTAACTGAGTGCCTTTGGAACTAGTGTCACACTGATACCAATGACAAAAGGAAAAAGTACTATAGGCCACTTCTTCTAACATGTAGCCTTTGGAAACTCTATTAGCAGGACCAGAAATTTCTCAGTGATGTGATAGTCTGAGGTCCTTCCTACCCATTCTTCCTATTCCTAAAAGCTAAGACCTTGGTGAACAGTAGCTATATGTAGACCTCCCAAAACTCACTGTAGGCAGATTTGCAATATCTAGGGGACAACAGATTCCTGGCTACTAAGAGTAGATTCCCTGGCCTCTGTACCCCAGATGCTAACAAATCTAAATCTAAAGTCACCTTGAGTCAGCTATATGCTAATGGCCTATATATCACTTTTAAAAACAATAATGGGATCTCTCTAACCATATTGCAAGAACAGTCATATTCTTGTTAAGTTGGGTAAGGTTTGCCTTTGTGGGTAAATTGAAAAGGACTAGGAAATCAAAAGCACAGGGAACCACCAACTGAAAAGCATCACTATTAAAGAGATGACCTTCTCATGGCCCTTCAGAGTCATTTTTGACTGTTCTCTGAATATAGAGTTTAGATAGTGTGACTGGATAAACTCTTCTATGCCCCTTACTTCAGTTCTTAAAGACACTAACCTTTTATCCTCAACACAATTATTTTCTAGCATAGGTACCTTAACCCTAACCGAACATCTATCTTTAGCCTACTTTCCCAACGTTCAGCATCAAAATGAAATCCTGGCAGGCCAGGGATATACCTCAGTAAGACTGTGTTGCCTAGCACACGAGGCCCTGGGTTCAATCTACAGCACAAAAAATAATCTTAAAGGCTGGGGCTGTAGCTTAGTGGTAGAACACCTGCCTGGCCCTGGGTTTGATCCTCAGCACCACAAAATGAAAAAAGATATTGTGTCCATCTACAACTAAATAAATCTTTAAAAAAATAACTAACTAACCTTGACCATTTGTGTACATTTTGGCCCTAGAGAATTCTTTTCTCCCCAGTCCTGGGGATTGAAACCAATACCTTGCACATACATGCTAGGCAAGTGTTCTTCTACTGGGCTATGTCCCCAAACTATTTTTTATTTTGAGACAAGATCTCACTAAATTGCTGAGGCTGGCCTCAAACTTGCAATCCTCCTGCCTCAGTCTCCCAAAGGGCTGGGACTATAGATGCGTGCTACAGTGCCCTGCAACTCTAGAGAATGACAACCAGGCGCAATCTGTGAGAAAAAAAAAAGGGAGTAGGGGTTAGGGAATCTAAATAGAGAGTGAAAAAAAAAAAGGAGATATTTTATAACTGATTGGCTTTCATAAGGAAGTTCCTCCCCTTTTCCTTTACTTCCAGTCTTTACCTTATTCTTGAAACCAAATTGAGGTACTAAAAATTTATTTATTCCCCAGGACAGAACTATACCTGCCTCATTTTCCATCTCCCAAAGACAGCTCCCTAATAAGACATACATTCAAATACAAACAAAACACGCATTCAATTCAGGCAACTGTTTTACATTTTCATAACATTTTAACATTTAATAGAAACTATATACAATAATTTTTTACTATATTTTACATAAGATAGCCACTGCAGAAATTTACATAGATTACAAGCAAGATGAATAGTTAAGGTGGGCCCAGTCCTTAACTGTCTCAGGATAAGGATGGGAGTTCACTGGAGAAAGGGTGCAAACTGTTCAATTAAGTGAAGATGAGGAAAAGCTAAACTGTAGGCCTTTAGGTAAAGATAACCAGGCACTGGGGCGACCAATATCTCAACGGCACCATTTATAAAAACAACCCTCACCTAATCATCTATGTGGATTTCTATCTGTGACTTAAGAAATCCCATTACAAAGAATCACTTTCCCCTTTGGCACAGTCCCAAATACTGAATTTCAGAGATAGGTAATCCCTATCTTCCTTGCCCATGGTAGAAAGAAACACAACTTTGACACTACTGGCCCATCCCCCTAAGTATGGTTTTATTTAACTACGACATTCTATAACCCAGAACAAAACAACTGGGTTGCCCCTGTTTAGTGAGAGATGATCAGAGATACTTGTTTGAAGAATGGGAAAGTGAAATCCACGGAAGTCATATGGTTCCCAGAACAAACTATCAACTGCTAGGAGTGGATTCTGGTTTTCCATTTGCAGTAGCCAATCCACTTTGAAGCAATGGTGCACAGGCTTTCTCAGAATTTCGAGATCCCTGGGACCTGTAACCATCTCCAACCATCTGCATCTGGCCCTATTAAAGAAATAAAGGTACTTTGATTAGTAAAGCATTCACTGGAAGGGAGGATGGGGAGGGGAACCAGGAATGACAGGAGAATGAATCAGATATAAATTCCCTATGTTCACATACGAATACACAAACAGAAATAACTAACTCCACATCATGTTCAACCACAAAAATTGTATCCTACTTAGAGTAAGTTATACTCCATGTATGTATAATATGTCAAAATACATTCTACTGTCATGTATATCTAAGAAGAACACATAAAATTAAAAAAAAAAATTTAAGTCTCATGAAGGAAAAAAAAATCATTCTCGATGCTCTGAAACCTTAATTATGAATCTATCAATTCCCATTTATATTCAGTACATTAAAACAACTCTGGGAGCTGCTCTTCCCAATACTGCCTAATCTTAAAGAGTCTGAAATCATTACTTGGCATTCTTGAAGCTCTCCCAATGGAAGAGACAACCGTGGATTGTTTCTTCCAAATGAAACAGCCATTCTCAACTAAGGTCCCAGAACAGCCAATGAACCACAGAAGATAAGTTTTTTAGGCCTCTGTTTGAAACCAACAGCTATAGTGTAACTGCTGGTCTTCAGTCAGGGCCACTGGTATCCAACCTCAGAGAAAGAAGCCAAATCACACTACTGGTCCTTATTCTGCAATGAGAATAATTCCAGTAATGAACTCTCCCTTAAACGGCACAATTTAGCCAAGCATAGTTGTGCACATCTGTAACTTGGAAGGCTGAAGCAGTAGGATCCCAAGTTCGAGGTTAATCTTAGCAACTTTAGCAAAACCCTATCTCAAAATAAAATCTGGGATGTAGCTCAGAGCACGCCTGGGTTCAATCTCCAGTATCAAAAAAAAAAAAAAAAAAAAGAAAAAAATTTACTTACATTTCTTGTCTTAACCTTTCATTTAAAAAAATTTATGTCCTACCCTCAATATGAAAACTAGGGACCACTATTCTAAGGTCCATCTAGAAAATTGGAGCAAAAGGGCACTAAGAAGCAGAAAAAGGCTTCTTTCATTCTCTCATTTATTCATTTGCAGTTCTGGGGATGAAACCCAGGGCCTCACATATTATAAGGAATATAATATGTGACTGAGCTACACCCAGCCTCAAAATGACATTTATTAAAAGTACCTTCCTTGTATGGTATTCATTAAACAAAAGCTATTTGGGGGCAGGCATCTTTATACTCTACTTGTGATGAGACCCACACTCCCTGGAGTACATGTTAGCAAACAAGGATCACTTTGCCTGACCAGGTCACTATATGATGGAAGGCTAATTGGGATTGTTCTTCACTTGCCAAGATATCCACTGGGCCTTCAGCAATTTCTTTGATTGAATGATCTTCAAGGGTTAATGAAGGATCAAAAAGCAAGGGTGAAGGAGGGCACTGCATACCATCACCAACAACATCCAAGTCCTACAAAACAAAGAGAAAACCCTATTAGCAATACTAAGGGTATCAATAAACTGAAGTTGGCATATTTTTCAGCAAACCTCAAAGCAATTCTGAGGTCCCTCCCTTACCCCTTGCCTACCAGAATGTTCAACAAATGAGACAAGATCCAAAAGCACTGAGAATTTTTTCTTGCTGCTGATTATGAAGCACAGACCAGTATAGTAGCTTTAAAAAAGCAAATTCCTAGGAAAATTCATAGAAAGTAGAACAGTGGTTACCAGGGGCTGAGGGAAAGGGGAAGAGGAGTGTTATTATTTAAAAGGTACAGAATTTATGCCAGGGTTGATGGAAAAATTCAAGAATGGTTGTACAACACACTGAACATTGTTAATTAGCACTGTACACTTAAGAACAGTTAAAAATAAATTTTGTTATATATATTTCACCATAATAAACAGTATTCAAAAAAAAAAAAATATTCCAAGGTTACTGGAGTCAACATTTAAGTTAACCAGTGATGAATCTAATGATAATCAGCAGAAGCATAAATTAAAATTAAATATTGCTTTAAAACTTTGGGCAATATGAGATTGTATGATGAATGTCCAAAGAGCCACAATGCATGCAAGTGAAAGAGAGGAAAAGGGAGAGTAGGAAAGGAGGGAACAGGAAACTCAAAAGACATCTGAAATATTATTCTGATTAAAACCCTATCCTCACAGAATAATTCATTTTAAATCTAACACAGTTCAATTGTTCTGTTAAAAAAAAAAAAAAAAGACATTGCTAAACATGGTAATGTACACCGTAATCCCAACAACTTGGGAGGCTGAGGCAAAAGGATCCCAAGTTTGGGGATATAGCTCAGTTGGTAGAGTGCTTGTCTTGTATGCAGAAGGCCCTGGGTTCAATCCCCAGCACCACAAAAAAAGAAAAAAAGAAAAAGAAAAAATCCCAAGTTCAAGGCCAACCTGGGCAACTTAGCAAGACCCCATCTCAAAACAAAAATAAAAAGGACTGGAGATATAGCTCACTGGTATAGCTCTTGCCTAGCTTGCCTAAGACCCTAAGTTCAACCCCAAATACCATAAAACAAATATCAGAAAAAGAAATATTCTAAACCACACTTCTTCCAAATGAACTGGCCATTCCCACTGAGATACTGAATAGCCAACAGACCAAGGGAAGTTATCTCTTGGCTCCCATTTGAAACCAATAGCTACAGCAAACATTGGTCTTGATTCAGGGCCTAAGGCATGGCAAAGGTTCAAGTGATACATCAACCTAACTTCCATGCCACTGCTAGGAATCTAACGCTAAATTCCCCCTCCCCCATAAAAATACCCAAGGGTTGGTACTCCCTGGTACCCTTTATAGAGGTATGATGCTTTTAACTATCTAGCTTCATGAGAAGCTTAGTTTATGCTTTAAAATAAGTCAAACAATTTGCAGTCCTTTTCCCTTTTGTTGATGTGCCAATCAGAAAGAAAGAAAACAACATCTTCAAAATTGAGGGGAAAAAAAGAAGTGAAGAATCTACCATACTTAAAAACTGCTCAATCTAAAAGAACAAAGAAAAGAAGAAGTTCACTAGCTAACATTCACTTCAGATTATTGGAAACTTCTGACTATCCACAGAAACCAGTGTTCTCACACATTAGGACCATAAAATGTTTTCTACAATTCTTTTACTAAACACAATCATTATATAAATAATTAGCTTAGAGCAAGGTATAGGGGTACACACTGGGAGGCTGAGATAGGAGGACTGCCAAGTTTAAGTCCAGCCTCAGCAACTTAGGCCCTAAGAAACTCAGCAAGACCCTAACTCAAAATGAAAAATAAAAAGGGCTGGGATGTGGCTCAGTGGTTAAGTGGCCCTGGGTTCAATTCCAAAAAAAAAAAAACTCTAAAAAGGGCTGGAAATGTAGCTCAGTGGTAGAGCACCCCTGGATTAAATCTCCAGTGAAGAGAAAACAAGTAGCTTGGAATTAAAAGAAACCACTTAAGCAATAAAGTAAAAAGGATCCAAGTCTCAAGATAATAATGGAATGGGAATGTTTTCAAAGGGAAAATAAGTACAGGAAACATTTTTCTTAACATATAGAACACGTAGTCCTTTACCAATTAAAATTGGGAAAAGGAACCTAAAATAAGAGAAGATCAACAAGTGACATCAGCAACATTGTAGAAGCAGCAGCTCTGGCTCTCCGTCCACCCACAAGTGCATCACATAAAAACTCTACTCATGGGATCAATTCCCTCTGAGAGAAAGCTGGAGTAGCTGTTTGCTCCTACCCACTGGGCAATTTGAGAAAACAATCACATGTAAGACAGGACAGGAAAAGAAGAGGAACATGAGGCCAGGAGCCCAGCTCTAGGCACAGCACCTAAAACTGGAAAAGTAATCCCCAACATTCTGGCTTCTCCCTATGGAGAAGAGGATTTGGGCTTCACGCTGGGAGCAGAGGAGAATACACACAAGTTTCTCCAGATCACAGGGGAAAAAATCAAGAGACTTAAACAGAGCACAGCACTTTCAAGGACTTCATTCCCCAGGAGCAGTGTAGAGAGGTTACTTAAAAAACAATCCATTTTCCCCTTATATCAAGCATCTAACTTTACACCTAGGAAGTTTAGGGACTACATCCTGAACCTCCTAGCTCTGGAAGCAGACTTTCATATGTGCCTCTCTAGACCATGGAGAATGGGGATAAAGTGGTGGTTTTATACAGGCACACAAGCACTTTCAAGAGCTTCTTCTCCCAAGAGCAGTGGGGGAAGGAGGGGATAAAAAGCAAATCCTATTTCTCCTGTGAAGGACTCTATGTAGGCATCAAATGCCCCAACTTTAACAACTACCTCCCCAAAAGACTCCATTCTAAATCTCTTAATCTTTGTGAATAGAAAAAACCAGGCATGTACAAGTCTCCCTAGGTCAGAGAATAGAGGTGATTTTAAGTGAGCAAAAGGGGCAGAGTGACCAGCAAAAGTCATGCCTGACCAATTTGATGATATATATATTTGGGGGAGGGTGGGTACCAGGGATTGAACTCAGGGGCACTAGACCACTGAGCCACATCCCCAGCCCTATTTTGTATTTTTTTTTAATTTATTGTTTAGTTGTAGTTTGACAAAACACCTTTATTTTATTTATTTTTATGTGGTGCTGGGGATTGAACCCAGGGCCTCGCATGTGCTAGGCAAGCACTCTACTGCTAAGCCACAACCCCAGCCCCCATTCTGTATTTTATTTAGAAACAGGGTCTCACAGAGTTGCTTAGTACCTCATTGTTGCTGAGGCTGGCTTTGAACTAGCAATCCTCCGCTTCAGCCTCCCAAGCCGCTGGGATTACAAGCAGATGCTATCACACCCGGCCTTGATGATATATTTTTAAATATTTTAAAATTAAGATTTCTGGGGCTGGGGATGTGGCTCAAGCGGTAATGTGCTCGCCTGGCATGCGCGGGGCGCTGGGTTCAATCCTCAGCACCACATAAAAATAAAATAAAGATGCTGGGTCCACCAAAAACTGAAAAATAAATATTAAAAAATAAAATAAAATAAAAAAGATTTCTTAATTGTCAGGAAATAGCCTATAATATCTCACAATCATTATTAATTTGTTTAAATATTCACTAAAATAAGCAAATATCCATCTACAACTACAAAAAAATAAAAAGAAAGAAAGAAAGAAAAGAGCCTGGGGCTGTGGCTCAGTGGTTAAGACCTCTGGATTCAATCCCTGGTACCAAAAACAACAAAAAAATAAAGAAGTGTGGGAAAAGTATATAACATTTTGTTTTGTTTTATTTTTGTAATGCTAGAGATTGAACACAGGGCCTTCAGCATTCTAGATATGTACTGTACCACTGAGCCATATCCCAGTCCAGAAGTACAAAATATTTATGTGTGTGTGTGCGCACATGTCTATATATAATACCATATAATACACAAACACACATATACATATATATGCACTAGGTGGTCAAAAACAGTGGTTTTTGACTCAGTGGTTGAGTGCTTGCCTAGCATATGCAAGGCCCTGGGTTCAATCCCCAGTACTGCAAAAAGTAAAAGAAAAACCAAAAAGAGGTTAAAGGGGAAAAGCAAAAAAGTCAAAACAGAAATGACTATAGAAATTATTACCAAAATAAAAATTAACAGCCTAGTACATGTGTATTCTACAAAACACATGTGCTAATTTCTACCTGTGTACATAAGAGATTTTGATTATACAGTGCTTTTTATTAGGTGATTAAACCTTACAAACCTGTTCATATTACTTAAAACATTTTTAAAAGACAACACCTCTCTAGGTTTTCTTGAAATACAAAATGAAGTGAGCAAAACTCTGTCCTTATCAACCTGAGGCTATCATTTAATCTCTTCAAAATAATCTTGGAGCTGGGGTTGTGGCTCAGCAGTAGAGTGCTTGCCTAGCATGTACGAGGTCCTAGGTTCAATCCTTAGCACCACATATAAATAAATAAAAAAATAAAGGTATTGTGTACAATAAATATTTTAAAATAATAATAATAGTAATAATAATCTCATTGGCATTTTGAGAAACAGTGGAATACAATCTCTGAAGTCTCTTCCTAGCCTCATATTCTATGAAAGAAACTTTTTAAAAAGGCAATTATAAGCTCATGCACTAGCACATACCTGTAGTCCCAGAATTCAGGAGGGTGAGGCAAGAGGATCTCTTGAGCCCAAGAGTTCCTAAGACAAGTCTGGGGTACAGACTACAGACTCAAAAAAAAAAAAACTACCAAGTGGTTTAGTTTTTGTTTTATTTGGGGTTTTGTTGTTATCGTTTTTTGTATTCAGTATTGAACCCAGAAAATAGCCATAATGACATCTCACAATGATTAATTTGTTTAAATATTCACTAAAAAAGAAACAAGAGTCATCCTTAAACATACTAGAGGAATGTTTACCACTGAACCACGTTCCCAGCCCTTTTTATTTTATTATTATTTTTTAAACATTTATATTTTAGTTACAGGTAGACAAATTATCTTTATTTTATATTTACGTGTTGCTGAGGTTCGAACCTAGTGTTTCACACATGCCAGGCAAGTACACTACCACTGAGCCCCAGCCCCAGCCCCCTTTATTTTTTGAGACAGGGTCTTCACTGAGTTGCTCAGGGCCTTGTTAAGTCTCTATTGCTAAACCAGCCCTTGAATTTGTGATCTTCCTGCTTCAGCCTTCCAAGATGTGAGATTACAGGTGTGCCCCATCCCCAACACATCCAGCCCTTTTGAAAAATTTGAGGACCTCATTAAATTTTCCTGGATGGTTTGAAACTTGCAGTTCTGCCTCAGCCTCCCAAGTAGCTGGGATTACAGGTGTGGGCCACCACACCATTTGTGCTACCTTTCCTGTATTGTGGAATCTCAACCTGAAGGGTGTTAGATTTCACCTAACACTCAAAACCAAGAGACAACCAGAACTTCCGGTTTATAAGTGGTTCAGAGTGTCAATATAAAAAGTTTGCTTTCTTTTGTCTAAATAGAACAAGAAGCTTAAAAAATAAGCACACTCCAAAGGATATAGAGAGAGAGAATTGGAGAATTGAAAGTGTGTCCTCCCAAAAACTTGTACATGAATGTTCCATAACAGAATATTCCTTAAATGCCAAAAAGTAGAAACAGCTCAAATGTCCATCAACCTGGTGGATTAAAAAAATGTGTTATGGCAACATAATGGATTAATTTTGCCACAAAAATGAATGAGGTAAAGCTGAGTGGAGTGGAGTGGTGCACACCTATAGTCCCACCTACTTGGGAAGCAGAGGCAGGACTGCAAGTTTGAGGCCAGACTTAGGAACTTAGCAAGACCCTGTCTCAAATAAGGACTAGGGCTGTCTGTAGCTCAGTGGTATAATGCTTGCCCCAGTATGCATGAGGCCCTAGGTTCAATTCCCAGTACCAAAAAATAAAAAAGAAAGAAAGAAATGAACTATTAATATACACACTACAACATAAGTGAACCTTAAAAACATATGTTAGGGGATACCAGGATACAAGCTTTGGCCCCCTTCTCCCTCCCAGGAGAAGTCTATGTTACCCCTTTTTAAAAAAAAAAAAAAAAAAACCCTGCTTTATATGCTTAAAAAAATTATGCTAAATGAAAAAAGCCTGGCACAAAAGTTTCAGATTTATATGAAATGTCCAGAAGCAGCAAATTTACAGACAAAATGTGTATTAGTGGTTGACAAAGGATTGGGGAGGGCAGAATGA